TATATATATATACATACATTAATTACAAATTTTTACACACAAAGTTAGCAATTAAACAGAAGTGATTGTAACGGCTTTGTTCATGAAAGCCTAAACCCAGGGATAATTTTACCCACATAAATAAATCCCGGTCAAAAAATAGTACTGTGGTTCAGAACAAAAGCATTTTAATTTTGTACAGCACAGGTCAGTGAGTGGTTTATGATTTATGATGTAAAGTAGTTTTAACAAATTATCAGTAATATTAAAATATGTAGGCGATTTGCTGTTTCTAAAGACTGAGGCTAGTATTAAAATATGAATTAAATCAAGAAAATAAACACCAAAAAAAAAATTGAAGTTAAATTAAATAAATGGTCAATTAAAAAATTTTAAAATTTAGCCAAAAATCCTCAATGCGACTAGTCTTGTTTCTAACTACGTCATCATTTTGCGCCCATTCTGCGGTCGCTCGCGACATTTGCAGCTGTAGCTGTTTCAAAGAAAAAGAAAACCACGTTATAATTCAAGCGTTTTGAGTGAACAGAAAAAGTCGACATGATCGAGAAGGAGGACCCGGTCATCAGTGAAGAGGAAGCGGCGCAGTATGACCGGCAGATTCGGTTGTGGGGGCTCGATGCTCAGAAGAGGTGAGTTAGCTCAGTTAGCTCCGGAAGCTAACCGATGCTGCTGCGGAGCGGTTTACCTGTTGCACTGTTGTATTTTTGCACGTTTTTTTGAATGAAATGCTCGGCACTTTTAAATTAAAAGTGAGCAGAAATATGAAAAAATATATAAATTATCTGAAACAAGTGTTCATTCATTTGGTATGTGTGTAAAAAATGTTTGAATGGTCCAAAAAATGACAACGGACTCATCAGTTTATTTTACGCACTGCATAAAATAAAGTCACTTGGCTTTTTAAGTATTTGAAGAAATTAATATGAAATGCCAATACAAAGAGAATCTTGTAAAAATATATTTATCTAAATTTTACTAGTAAATACATCACAGCACCCTGTGATTCTGACATTAGTGATCAAACAGACTTTCAGCATTTTGTTTACAATCACTGCAGGCTGCGAGGGTCCCGTGTGCTCCTGGCTGGGTTAGGTGGTCTTGGAGCTGAAGTGGCGAAGAACTTAATCCTTGCTGGAGTTAAAGGGCTCACTTTGCTGGATCATGAACAGGTATGCTCATTAAGTGAAACAAGTCCAGGTCAGAGAATATTGTGCTGTTTTCAAGCAAATTGTTAAATTTTTTTCGTCTAAATCTCAGACATGTTCCATAAAACAAAAGGTCTTTTGTGGCTCCACTCTTCTTGTACTACTTCTTATTTCCACTAGATGGCTGTATTGGCAAAGTAACAGCCACTTGTGTTTTTTAAATTTATTTATTTATTACTCTTTAAAGAGACTCATTATAAAATGTAAAATCCATCCACTCTCTTTTAATTTAAGAACACATTAAGCATCAAAATGAGAAAAAATATGAAGATTTTATTTCTTAGTTTATGATTTTTTGTTGTAAACAGTTTTCATGAATGATGTTACAATGAATGTCACATTCTATATTTCACTTTTTATTTTGATGTTCCAGTAGCACGTCAGAAACTTTAACAAAACCCTGCCTATGTTTTTGCTTTAGTTGCTTCCCGTCCAACAGAATAAACGATGAGAAGAAAACGAGGATATCAGACAAACGTTTCCCGCCGCTGTGATTCCTCTCTCTCTATGCTTCGGCCAGGTGTCGGAGGAGTCGTGTCGAGCCCAGTTCCTGGTTCCCGTGTCGGCTCAGGGTCAGAACCGGGCCCAGGCTTCGCTGGAGCGAGCGCAGAACCTCAACCCGATGGTGGAGGTTCACGCAGACCCAGAGAGAATCGAAGACAAACCAGACTACTTCTTCCTGCAGTTTGAGGCGGTAAGAGAAAAGAAAAGTTGCTGAAGTCGGAAACAAAGATTTTTAAATTCAGTGGGTAAAATATGGGACCATTTATTAAAACCTGATGGATAGAAATAATCAGTTTTCAGGTTGGCCACTAGAGGTCGCCTGTAACTCATAATGTACTTAAAGAAGAACTTGTTTCAATGAGACTCACAACCAGATATTTTATTTACAAAATAAAGTCAGTTTTGATTAAATACTTAATATTTTATATAAAATATAAGCTTTGTATTTATACAGCTCATTAATCTGCACTCTTTACATAAAGTTAAATGTATAATTCATGTGAAACATGGATGTTTAATGAAAATCAAACTGTATTTAACTCTGTGTGTCCCTGTGATGGACTGCAGTCGTGTCAGGAGACAGAGCAGCTCCAGAAGTGCGTAAAGAAAGTGGCTGAATGGGAGGATTTATGTGTTGAAGCTTTTATATAGTTTTATTTTCAATAAGTGTTGATTTTCCTGAAATGTTTTTTTTTCTCTTCTCTACTCCTGATTAGAAATATGTGTTGAAGAAAAAAACATTTTATTCCCTTTTTTGCTGGGGTTTTTTGCAGCCTTCATCCCTAACAGAATATTAAACCTCACAGATTCTCATCTGGAGTTGGGCTTTGGTTAAAACAGACTGGATCTCAGTGTTCCTCCCTCCTGACACGAGGCTGCTAGTTTGAACACCATCAGAAGAGTCGTTTCACCTCCTGTTGTGTCTGAAATGTTGCCTCTTTCTCTCTTTGGAGATGCTAAATGAAAGAGGGAGGTGGTTTTAGAGAACATGGAATCATTTCTTAAAACTGAAGATTAAAAGCTATAAAACAGAAGGAGGGTCTGTCTGCAGCGCAGTGAGCTTCACTTTGATCTGCTTGTGTTCTGTGTGTACTTATGTTTGTTACCTTTTTAGGACCGTTTCTGCTATACACACCAGGGTTGGACAAAATCACATCGTGTGCAATTAATAGTTAAAAAAAACTTTAACTGATTTATTTTATGGCACTATTGACGATTAATACTATTAACGCCTTCAGGCGGACTGTCAGTCCACTCAATGCTCCTCTCTGCTTAAATATGATGAATATTTAAAAAAAAAAAAGTTCTGTAATTTATTTATCATAACTCTGGTTTTACTTGGTCTATCAACACAATTTAAAAACTGATGTATAACCTGAAGTCTGTACTTTTGAAACAATTTGGAACAGAATTTTACAGAGAGCAAATATTTCCCACTAGAGTGGTTTAAATTGGTCATGTGACCAGGATATGCAGGCGTCCAGGAACTCCAGGGGATTAATCACCAAATTAATCGCTTTCGACTAAATACCACCATTAATCATGATTAATTTTTTAGCCAATATTATCCAACCCTAATATACACCTGCCTTGTTTAGACCAGTGGTTCTTTTGGGGACCAAAAACCGGTCCTAATGTGGTGGACCTCCATTTTTAAAGGTCAGGTTCAGGCTATAGAAATGACTGGTCTATGAAGGATAGAAACACAAATCCGGGGCAGCTGTGGTGCAGTGGTAGAGCAGCCGTCTTGCGACCAGAAAGTCACAGGTTCGACTCCCGGCCATGCCCATATGTCGTGGTGTCCTTGAGCAAGACAACAACCCCCCAACTGCTCCCTGTGCGCCCACGTAGCCGCCCCCTGCTCCACCTGGGTGTTTCCAACATGTGATGGGTCAAATCATCATCGTTTATCATCATCATCATCATCATCATCATCATCATCATC